GGCCACCCGTCCGCACGGGGTGCAATTACTCTGTCAGCCCCAGCTTTCCGCTCTGCAGTAACTCAAGAGTTAAGATGTCATTACGTGCACGCTTCTCTTGATAATTTTTCTCTTTTGACAGGCTTTGTCGTTTCGTTCGTTCGGTTTTTTTTCGTCTTCACTTTGGTAAATCTAAAAAGGAATTTGTTTTGGGGGGGGGGGGGGGAAAGCGCCGCTCTAAATGGGAAACCAGGTGTCCCCTCCCACTCCTTTGTGACATTATCTCCGCCGTCTTCACGATGATCCCATCATAGCAATCTTCTGTGCTCTCTAAATAAACCCTAATTCATACCTCGGCCGTTTAGGGCTGTAATCGAGTTTACGGCGAGCCGCCACTGAAGGCACGGGAGGCAGGCGGTGTGAAGGTGAGTCCAGCACTTTGGTGTAGCACACAGGAGTCCGTCAATAAGGGGTGAGGGCAACGCCGCAATAAGCACAACTCATTACCATTACCCATCTATTTGTTTCGGCCAGGCCTCTTCAGAGCACGGGACGCTTTGCCTCGGAGGATTTAAGAGGTTGCAATCACCAGCGCAAGGGGAACAAATGGGCACTTTTCAGGCGGGGGGCCGCCGGCAAATCGGCACGCGTAATTTTACACGGCGAAGAGCAAGTTTTTTTTGCGAAAGTGGGCTAAATTAAGCGGTAGTAGCCTGTGAATATTGTCACCAGGACATTTACATGTCATCGCTGCACCTCCCCCCCTCCCCCCGCCCGAACACGTAGAGTCATAAACGTGCCTACCGTGCGCTGGCTGGCGCATTGAGTCGTGCAGTGGCTTTTGCCGCGGGGCCATCGGTGTGACCCCCGGGGAAAACCCAGGGGGGCTTGCGAGCGAGAAGCGTTTCGCGTTCGTTTTACGCGCGTATGCCCGAAATGAAAGGAGGGTTTTGCTCCGCCTGATCCCAGGGCACCCCAGGTGTTTTCGAAGATCAGAGCGGCCGCCGTCATTAGCAAATGACGTCGAAATGTTCCAGACGGGCATGAAACCACCACTGACCTTAATGAATGTCGTAAACTCGATTACACCCCTAAACAAATTCCTGCGCGCAGTTGTTATTTATGGGGCCCTGTGTGGGAATTGAACCCCTCTCAACCCTAATTCTAGGGTGCCGCATTACAAGGGAGCTGCGCGTCGCCCGCAGACATGTGCAGCCTGACACCGCCAATTACCAGCACCCGACCTCTTTATGGGGCAGTTCTGGCCGGTTCGACAATAAAATCACTATTTATGACGTGGGCCCAAAAATAAAAAATAAAAATCTGCGGCAAAACACTGATGTCACTGTATCGAGGTGCAGTAAATCCTTGTCAGTCGTTGATTCTGCAGATCAAACGGAGCGGCTTCGAGGACAGAGTGAATGTTTGTGACGCAAGTCTCCACCGCCGTTGTTTTGACGGAATCGTTGTCGGTTCGTGCTGGGAGTTTGCGGTGCCACGATGGCGTCACCGCTTGTCCGCGTTTCCGTTTCCTCACTTTATGATCCTCCGCAGCCCCTCACCCCCCAACTACTTTGCGGTGGCAGCAACAATGAGGAATCCGTCGGATGCCCGGGATGATTGCAGGTTAGTCACTGCGCGGCCATTAACAGACGGCTTTCCCGAGAGGGAGAGAGCGAGGTGTGTGCGTGAAACGCGAGCGCTCACAGAGCACCGTGGGATGCAATGGTGGTCGCTTCCCACGGGGTGCGCACGGCCCAAGACGCGCCATTCCATCTCACGGTGGCATCACCCCCCCCCCCCCCCATCGAGACGATGGATCTGCTACGAAGCATCACCCTTGCAGGCAATTTTATGCAGCCGTCACTCGGTTCGCTGCCTTAAGTGGGGAGAATCGGTCAGTACCAGCGACGGACGGTTCACGATAAAAAAAAATATTGTCTGGTATTCACGTGATTGAGCAAATAAAACCTGAGATGATGATCGTGTTGTTCGTGAGCCGATTAGGGAGCAAACAGGGCAGTGAGTAGAGTACTGAGAGCGTTTCACTTTAAACAAGGGGCACCAACTGATCCCGATGTGTACGGCAAGTTTAACCTGCCGCTGTTTTGGATCACATTTTTGTTAAATATTATTATTATGCGTGACCTAAAATTATGAGTTTGCTTAAACATTTTTTTAAGGGGTTGTCAGAAATAGTACCATATATTATCATTGTTTTAGTTCATTTTGTGCGATGTATCAACATTCATAAATGAAAGCATTCAAGTAATGAAAATAAAGATGACAGTTGATTTTAATTTTTTTTCCAAATAAAGAATGATGTCTTTGACATTAGTCTTACAAACCGTACAAGGCAAGATGGAGGCACTTACAAATTAATTTCCTTTCACGAAACCTACAACAGTGCACGAGGCAAGCTCATACCTGAGCATCACATTACACGTGAATACGATGAACCGCAGTGAGTTCATCAACCTTGTGCAGCCTGCCATAGGATGTGGCCTCGGGAGTTTTAGGGGTCCCAGGATCAAAGCGCCGCATCGCACCCCCACCAGCATAGGGTTCAGGGATCCGAGGGTCAGCATCCGAAGCCGCTCCCTGCCCAGGGAACCTGGCGCTTCATAGAACGACCCCTGCAGAGCTCCAATTGCCCCCAGAGTGAGGCCGTTTCCTCTGCAGCTCCGCTCCACCACGCTCGCCTGGTCCGCCGCTGTCGCCTGGCCTTCCCTGACACCGTTAGCCAACTGAAGATAAATGTTTGACGAGATATGGCAGGGGCCGGTGTTCGTTGATCTCGTTCAAGGAGCATAAACCGCCACGCAAACTCCGGTCATCCCTGCAGCGGCTTTTGGCGAACCATCGAATAAAGATGGTCACTGCATCACGCGCTTTCATATGCGCTTTTCGGGCCAACTGGAACACTCTTCCTTCCGATATTAGGAAGCCACTTGAGCTGCACAGTTTTACATGTAGATTGAAAACTCATTTCTTTAGAATTGCTTTTTGCGTTTAGTTTGTTGTCCTTCCCCCGCACCCTCCGATACGTACGAATGATCCCAAGGCAATTGATGAAGTTATTTTACGATGTGCTTGCAGAGTTGTTACCCGTTGCTGGTAGCGGGGTTTTCTCGCTCCCCATTGGCTCTGGAGTCCCACTCCACCAGAGGCGAACTACTGGACTAACTAATGATGGCAATCGAAGTGTTTAGCACGTTACTTAAACCGGTTTAAAACTTTAGGCTGAGCCTGCCCTACGCAGTAAAATCATGGCCCTTGTGACTGTACATATAACCTCAAATGCGTGTAAAATATCATTTATTTAGCCGTTATTTACCATTGCCAGTCAGTCAGAGGGGTGTGTCTTTCGGTATATGTCTTGCATCAAACTTTATTCCGACCAAAGATAACCGCTCAGAGCTGGCCTCACTCCAGCCCCACAGTGACCGTGTTGTGCCGGCCAATTGTGGGAGCTGAGAAATCGCTTTTGGTGGCTCCCCTCCCGCACACTCCCCGCCCCCCCCCCCCCCCCCCATTTTCAATTGATAAGATCCCAGTGAGATGGCAGCGGAGGTTATCATAGACAAGAGGTAGATATGTAGCAAGATAAAAATATCAATTTAGACAAATATATACATAATGTGAGATGAGACGAGAGATGCATGTAATGATATAAATGAAAGATACGAGTTTTCTTTATTTGTTGATTAGCTTGGGGGCCGTCCATAAATTAATGACGTCAAATCGCTTTAAACTATTGTCATTGTAGTGCGTATTTCATGTGGCGCTGCACTCTGATGTTGTAGGAGAAAACATTTATTAAAAAGTCTATTTAATTAAGTAGAACGTGTTGTCTATATTTATTTAAAGTTGCACATTTTGATGTGACGTCACATTTCTCAAACCCCCCCCCCCCCCTCGTCACACATCGTCACAAATGTCTGACCACCCCCCCTAGGTGCGTGACGTCATTTATGGAGGGCCCCTTGTTATATTCATTGAGGATTAGAATTTGTGCTCATATATTTAAAAAAAAACTGTATATGCGTGTATGTTTTGATTTGAATCTGGGGCTCCTTGAGCTTTTTGGATCCCTCAGCCTTTCCATGCTTTGCTAATGCCTTGCACCGGCACATTGCGCGCTTTGGTCAAGTGCTCTGCATGCCAAAGTGGGCTTCTGGTTGGTAACCAGACAGCCGGAGGAAAAGATGCCGGGGAAAAAAGCAGCAGATGGAAGAGAGCTCACCAAAACTCCCAGCAAGGTGGCAGAGCAGGCGCAAGGCTGCGTTCAGCTGGCGATGTCTCCCAATTGGGTGACCGACATCAACCTTCGGCAGCGATCGTCCGTGCGCATCATCAGATGTTCCAAAGTCAACGCGACACTTAGGTAAGACTCCTTCGCATACGCGCGATTGGCCGTGCGGACGTGGGGTGGCATGGTGCCTACCGCTGTGTTCAAGCGTCCTGTCCATCTCATTAAAACTTCTCGTGTCGCTGTTCGTGTCGCTATTTGGTTACCGTGGCTATTTGGTAACCGTTGCTGGATAATGTTCTATGAAATGAGAGAAAAATGCAGGCACCTACATATTTAAATTATACTGTATGATGTAAATGGTTAAGAGTTGTACGTTTATTAATCCTCTCATGAATATTAATTCTGCATTGCATGGCAATGTTTATTTTGAGTGTTTGCCTGATATTGTTTTGTTTCACATTGGAATTCGCTGCTTTGCCGCAACTTATTGAGGCTCAGGTCTCCCTCAGTAAAGAGACTCACGGTCTCCTTGGACTTTTACCTGTACATCAATAAAGGCCATTTTAAATCTACTTCTCCGTCTCTCTTCAGTATCTTTGTCTCTGTTCATCTCTCTGCCCGTCTCTATCCGTGTCAATGACAGGAGTACCACAACTCAATCTGACCGCTGGCGAAAGGGACTTCCAACAAACGTCCATTGTCCAGGTTTGGCAAAATTCGACATCATCCACCAAGAGATGGCAAGATAAAGCAAAACATTCCCTCGTTATCAAAACTGTAAACTTTAATTGTTAAGACCAGCTATGTCCAGACGGGGGGAAAAAAAAAAAAACATTGACTTTTTTCATAAGTACACATTTTTCAAAGAATGAGGAAATATATGTACAGCCTTTTAAATAAATAACTTTAAATGATTTAGATCACGTACATTTAATGAAACCCCCCCCCCCCCCCTCCACAAGTACCTAGAAATCAGCTAGACGGGTTCGGAGTGACCCCCTCTTTCTCCTGCCCACGACGCGGCGCGCTTTTAAATCCTCGGCCCGAGTGTTGAGGTAGTTAATGGCGGGCACAGTTTGACCATCCTCATCGAGCGGGGGCGTGCGTCTCGTCGCGCGGACCCGCTCGACGGCGGCCGCGGGCCCGGGACGGCGGGGCAGCTCGCCCCGTTGCTTCCTGCGTCCCGGCGGTTCCTCGCTCGAGTTGGCTCGGCTGCAGGATAGCCTCGAAGCACAAATCCTCACATTTATATACTTTGTCACCAATTACACTTTTTTGTCGATTTAACGGTATTTAAAAATAAAAATATATTATATGTAAAAAAAAAGAAAAGTTACTTTTGCGGAAGGGGGGCGGGGGTGAGGGTCGGAGTGGGAGGGGGAGCGTAATAAAAAAAATATTTACGCAACCAAATCTGGCCACGGAGCGTTAAGGGGAGGGGGGGGGGGGAACGCGGGGTGAGGGTTAGTCATGGCGAGTGGCGAAGCTACAACGGTAGCAGCTGGGAAGTCGCACGGATTGCGGCTCGACACGGTTTAGCGTCGCGCTGCGCGCTCAGGCTCAGCCTCGGCGTCGGGTTTACGGAGCGTGGCGCGCCCGCGAGCGGGCGAAGGAGGGTCGTGCGCCTCAGTTGGGGGCGGTGGTCATGCTCGACGCGGCTAGCCGAGCAACGCTTGCGAAAGATCCGGTCACGCGAGCGGCGGCGGCGGCGGCGGCGGCGGCAGAAACAGCAGCGGATCCCCTCGCGCACCGGAATCCATTCGGCAATATCCGCCGATGGCGTCAGAGTTCGGCGCCCTGCACGGGCGCGACCGCCGCCGTCGGCCCGGGCCGTCGTGAGCCCGACCCGCGGCGGGGGCGACCTGCGCAGCCGTCGTCGCATTCTTCGCGCGTCGTGCCGCTCGGGCCCCCGGCTCCTCGCGCTGGCCTTGTTCGTGTATTTCCTCCGTCCTCCCTTTGATCTTTTTTGTTCCGGCACGAGTCTCGTCAAACGAACGTCAAATCCCAGTGTTTGACTCATTCACAGTAATGCGCGGATTCGCCGCGTGCTCCTTACAGGGGCAGGCTGCCCCCCCTCCCCCCCCCCGCCGGAGCCGCAGCAGAGCGACAAAAATCGACGGAGGGGACGGGGGTCTGCTCCGAGACAAGACGCCGCGTGTCTTTTTTTTTAAGTTCACGAACAAACTAAAAGAAGCGAGAGTCATGCACTGGAGGTCTCCCTCGGCCGGGCTGCCGCAGGGCAATAGCACGGTCGCGGTGAGATCTGATGCAAAGGTGCTTTAGAGTTTGTTTCTAAGGCATTTCAACGCCCGACAAATGCGAATCCTCGTCCCGCACTCAACACCGAGAACTTGCGGCACGGCAGACAGCCGGGCCGGGCTCACGAGCTGGGCGCACGAGCCGGCGGTCCCTTCACTTGCAGGTGTGAATGTCGTAGACGCGCGCGCACTCCTGGCAGCTCACGTAGCAGCACCAGTGGAAGACGCACTTGCACTTCTCCCGGCGCCTCTCCGTGTGCGTGTTGTAGCCGCGGCTGCAGCACAGCAGGTCGCAGCCGTCGATGCCGTGCGACGTGAGGTTGCAGGGCCGGCCGTGCGTGCCCAGCGAGCCCGTCTCGGCGCTTGGCTCGCAGAAGTTGGGCGACGTCTCGTAGTAGACGAGGTCGCGCTCCGCGGGCGGCTTGAAGAGCGGGTACTTGGGCCGCAGCGTCTCGACCCAGCCGCGCGACTCGCGGTGCCGCTCCACCAGCATCTCGGAGGCGCTGTCGTACTTGTCCTTGAGGTGGTCGCCCACCGTGCGGAAGCTGGGCTGCGCCCACCAGCACGTCTTCACCTCGCAGCTGCCCGACAGCCCGTGGCACTTGCACTTGCGCTGCATGAAGTCCAGGATAGACTACGTGATGAGGGAGGGGCGGTGGGGATGGGACATGGGAGAGAGAGAAAGGGCAGCGTTGAGTGAAGATGACTCGTGAATCGTGAAAACTCTGCCAGGTTAGGAGAGGCACGGTGGCATTGAAGCCTGCGAGGTGTGGACGCTGGCAAAACGGAGTCAACGATCACTTGCGTTGGTCGTAATGTATTTATGTTGATGTATGTACGTTCGCACCATACGTAGCCAACCCTGATAATCGGAGGTGCAATGCTTTGGGAACCTCCAGCGGCCACATATCTTGCTGTGCGTAGTGTGTCGTCGTCATTACTTCATCCGCTTTATAAATGAAACCCTGGCAAATGAACTCGCCCTCTGGGTCAATTAATCAGCTCATGAGTTTCCCAAAGGGGATCCCTTAAGTTCGTGATAAAACATGCGACCAACACAACAGCATTCGCAACTCCGCTCCCGACCAAACACCTCTACTCTGCAATAAGCTCGTCCACATGTCCACACAAATACAAACCAACCTCAAGCGGAGGAGGCGTAAAACCTCTGAACATCCCGAGTACCATAGCGGACGCCCCACAGACGCACAACGGAGGAATGGGCACGCTCAGTGATGTCCACTTTAGGCATGAAGTGCTTGTGTGTTCATTCGGACGCACTCTTCAAGTAACATTGTGCTTGGTCCCAATGTTAGTTGGCATGGAATCGAGTACTTGATCTAGGACACACGCAGCAGGGCTTGTGGATGTATTTCCTTGGCGTGATGCTGGCCGATCGATGGCTCCTTTTATCAAACAGCGGACACCTTCGCTTTTGTTGGCTTCCGTGTTGTTATGGTGGACGCTTCTCGATTCAAAAACTGCGCCGCTGACATCTACGACGCCGCATCACCATTCCGCAAGTCAAGACTCGGCTGGGAGTTTTCATGCGTCGTGGCAAATGCGCTGTGAAGGAGGCTGGGAGGTCTATCCCCAACAATCCGATGTATATGAACGTCAAGGTCATGAAGGATTCATTAACGTGCAAAAACTAGGATGAGGAGAATGGGATGGCTGTCGGGTTTGAGCGGTGGCGCAATGGTTCACGAACGATATTACAAACCCCAGCGGCCAGAGTTCAAATCCAAGCCATGGCTTACATCAGTGGAGACTGGTATCTGAACTGATCCTGCCTCACACCTCACTAACCACTAAACAACGTTGACGAGCAAGGTGAGGTATGGCCAAACAACACTCGTGACCAACACTGCACGGGGAGGCCTTCATGAGCCGAGTTGGTTTACGAAGGTTCGGCGCGGGGGATGTTTGGCCGAAGCCTCTTTAAGTGTGCTTGAGGCTGTTGAACAGTGTTAGCAAATTCTTTATTTTTAATCCACGGCCAGTGAGCGCCCAATAGTTGTGCCAAAGTGCTCAACCTATGCTCCCGAAATGTAACCAAAAGTGCAACTCCGCTCGCTTAGGCTTTCTTCAGAGGCGAGCGCGTTCGCGCACAGTCACGCGGCGTGCGCCCCACTCGCAGACATCTCGAGGGAAAACTCGTTTTTTGTTTGTTAAAGGGGACTTCTTTTTCCAGCAGTGGATGTGACAAAAAAGTTTGAAAGATTATCGGTAAGCAAAGCAGAGAGAGAGAGACAGACAGGTGGGCACATGGCCAAATATCGAGATGAATGCGTGTGGGCCGAGCCAGTTCTGCAGATATTATGCAACTATGGCTCACACTTGCCAACTCGGCTCGAACTCACTGCAGCGGCGGGAAAGTGACCGGCATATGTCATGTATGAGCGCTGATCCCAGTGCCTCCAGGAGCTCAAGCTGTAGCCTGTGCGAAGGAGTGAACCTCGTTTTTGATCATGCTCTCGAAAAAAAAAATCTACTATTTATCAAATGCACGCCAAAACTCGGCTCAAACTGATCTCGGGCAGGGATTCACGCGCAACTGCACCCCCCGTTAGTTCGATCCCTATTCAAGTCCAACTGCAGTGGTGAGTGATATCCAGACCTATCCTAACTCGCCCTTAGATGAGCACCTGATGCTGTGGCGTGCCCTAAATTACATCCCCCCGCGAGACAAACACGGACAGCCCTTTTGCGAAAGGGCGCCTTTGCCTCTGCCGTGCACGCCACTCTGGCCCTACGCCTCGCGCCAGACACCTGGCGCACTTTTGGGCTTCGTCGTTGGGCGAGAGATCCGCGGACGCGGGGCTTCTCTTCATTTTTCACGGTAGCATCTCCGGTGTTACCCGCGGCTACGGCGCAGGCGTGATCTTGATGTTGATAGGGAGGGCGAAGCTTCCATCTCGCCGCGTTCGCTAAAGTGCTGTGGTGTTCGTGGGGGGGGGGGGGGAGGGGGGGGGGCCTCTCTCTCTTGTCTCGGCTCTCATTGCTCGAGGAGCGTGTGTCAATCTTGCCGCCCCGCACGTGAACACTTGTTCACTGCCCGGCCCGGCTCGGCGGGTCCAGCTGACTTGCGCGACGGTTCGCCTGTAGCGTAGTGCGCCAGAGCACAACGCGAGAAAAAAAAAACTGCCGAGGTTGTGAGAGAGAGAGAAAAAAAGAAACACAAATTTTCTGCGAAGGCAGCGAGTGTGGTTTTTGCGGCTCTCTGCACCGTGACGGGGCACGTCAAGATACTGTTTACATTGCTTCACAAACAAATGGGATCTTAAAGACCTCTGCCGAGAACGAAAAAAAATGCACGAAAGCCAACGCGCGCGCCCCATGTCCCTTCTTCTCCACGCTAGACCTCCCCCCCACCCCCCCCCCCCAAAAAAAAAAGTGCCTTATGTAATTTTTGCATATTTTCGTTAAGTTCCTCCTCGACATTGTTCAAATTCCCACTTATTCCGAGAGAAAACACCACCGTGGCAACAAAGCGGCCTCTGCTTGTTTACATTAGACGCAGGAATCCACTTTGGCTTTCCCAAAGTCCCCCCCCCCCCATCCCACCCCCTGCGCGCAGCAGCAGCAGCAGGTGCGGCCGCGGCAGAGAAATGTCCTCCCGGCCTCGGAGAGCGAGCACCTGGCGGGGGCGTCGTGGGAACCGGGGGCGGCACCGCACCGGCACCGCACCGGCCATTGCGCTCCGTCGCCCGAGAGCTGTTGTCTCGAACCACGAATGCGCACCCCCGCCACCACCACCACTACCACCACTGTCGCCGTGCGAGCGATTGACACCAGGGGAGCGAGCGATGTTGGCTCCCGCCGTGCCAGCAGTGCGCGCCCAACGACGATCCAGGCACCCCCCCCCCCCCTCCCCCGCTGGAGGTTTCTTCACCTGCCGCGGCATTTGGGCTAATTCTCGTGGACGTTATTTCATCGAGAGGGCCGTGCCGGCAATCTCCGGACGCCGCCGTTCTTCGTCGACGCGAGAAGACGGCTTAACAGGCTGAGGAAGGTCTGGACCATATTTTTGTAGTTGCCAGCCTTATTAGGTACTCGCGAACAACAACTGCCCCAACAATCTGTACAGAGCCTATTGCGGGGGATCTTTTTCTCTGTATGGGCTTAGGAGTGGGGAGGGCTGTGAGGGGCCATGCTGTGGATCTCTAATGTTGACGTTGAGTGGATGGCAAGTGCAAAAGTACATTGAACAACTTCTGTATTTGGTGCTCTAACTCTGTCCCAAGAGAAACTGCTCTAATTTCGTGAAGCCACACTTCATTAAGGGTGGTTAACACATAACCAGAAAACCAGATTTACCAATCACAGCTGCGCATTACCTCATTCTGTTGCACAAGCATAAACATCACACCTTAAACCTTGAGCTTCTGTGGAATTCTGCTGACCTCTGCCACGAGAGTGAAAATCTTGAGCGCAGAGGTGGTGCGGTGTGTGGCACTATGATGGGTTCGATTCCCGGCCATGGCTAACATCAGTGGCGAATAATTTCTAAACCGGTCCTGCACCTCCCCTAGGTCGACTTAAATGAACATCAACACCGCATAGTGATGGACACACCATCCCATCTTGCGCTGTGCTTGTCTTTGTAGTTGGTGCACCAACCATCTATGAAGATGAATGGGTGATCTATCAACTTTTTGAGAAACTTGGATGTGTCTCAAGTTGCTCCTAGCCTGGCACAAGATCAATGGCGACATCGCCACCACTTTAGGCCAGGATGCGCCAAGGCAATTTTAGGACAATCTTCACTGGCAACAGTTGTCGGTACCATTCTCATTGGATTCCTTGGCGAGACCTCTATCACCTCTGTGTCATTGCCACACAAGTTGCCATAGTTACTCGTGATAGATGTGTTGCCGGTGAAGGTCGCCAATGAAGATTGCTCTACAATTGTCTGCTGCTGTTGCTATTGTTGTTGCTGTTGGGTGTTGTGGGCGGTGATAGTGGTGCTGGTGTTGGTGGCAGGTCATGATATTGGCGACAGTGGTTATGGTGTTTGTGTTGTCGTGGTGATGGCAGCGGTGGCAATGAGTGGTCGCGTGAGCGATGGTGGCGGTAGAGATGGTTTTGAGGATGTTGGCGGTCATCATGGCATCGGCGGTGTTGGTGGTGTTGGTAGTGTCGGTGGCGCCAATGTTGGTTGTGGTGACACCGATGCTGTTGGTGATAGTGGTTGGTGGCATCGAAAGTGGCGGTGTTGTCGCTGGTGGTGATGATCAGGGTGGCGTTTGTGGTGCTGGCGTTCGCTGTGTTGGCACTGGTGATCGTGTTGGCATTGGTGGTGATTGACGCTGCTGGCGGTGGTGATTGTGGCAGTGGTGGCGATGATTGGCCGCGATTGGCGCTGCTGGCGGCGGTGATCGTGGCAGTGGTGGCGATGATTGGCCGCGATTGGCGGTGTTCGCGACAGCGTAGGCGCTGGCGGTGGCGATTGCGCCGGCGCTGCACTCACGACGCGGCCGGCCTCGTTGTTGTGCCGGTTCATGGCGGAGCGCGCATCGGGGCGGTTCTCGCGCGCGTCAGCGAACTCGCGCGACACCATGACGCCAAAGTCGGCGTCCTCGCTGCAGCCGCCCCACTTCCAGCCGCCGCTCGGCTCGCCCCGGTGTTTGTTGTCGCAGCCGCAGATGGTGGACGTCCCGTCGGCGCACGCCCGTGTCACCGCGAAGCCGACGCCCGCGGACGAGACGGCGTGCACGAAGGACGCCTCGCGCGTGGCTGCGGAGAGAGCGGACGAGGAATCACACGGCGCCCGTCATTTTTATCAATGTGCTCGTCGTGGCTGCTGAGCACAGTTTGCCGAAAGTGCCGAGTGCGTCGCGATAGTTTCACACGTGGGCTTGCGTGACCGTTTGCACGATTCGCGGTTGGTTTATTGTGGGGTTTGACCATCGTGGAGGTGTAACGTCAATCAGAGCTGTGAACGTCCGCCGCCCGACACGGCCAAACCACCTTGGCGTGCTCGCTTTTCACTCGCAATTGCCGGCAGTTTTCCGAGAAACAAAATCAATCGGCACGTTCGGCCGTGGCGTCGCGACTGGATTTGTTTGGCCGTGTCGGGTGGTGAAGGGCCGCGCAACTCTCTAATGGACATCACACCGACACGATCGTTGAAACCAAAATTAAGCAATGACAATTCAGGTTGCTGATAGATACGCGTTTAGGATTCTGGAATTGAGCAAGGTTATTGTTAAAGGAGTTTTACAAAAACAGGCGATGATGATGGTGGGAAACGGAATTTCAAAGTTGAGCAGTGGCAAGGGAAGAAGCAGAAAGAGAAGCGTTGTGACCTGTGGTGTGGTGGGTGGGTAAGCGAGTGGCTGAATAAGTGGGTGGGTGAGTGGGTGAGCGAGTGTGTGAGTGGGTGTGTAAGTTGTGATCTGCAGTGTGGTGGTTGAGTGGTATGAGTTGGGGTGTAAGGTTTGACCTGCAGTGTGGTGTTTGAGTGGGTGAGGTGGTGTGTAAGTTGTGACCTGCAGTGTGGTGGGTGAGTGAGTGAGTGGGAGTGTAAGTTGTGACCTGCAGTGTGGTGGGTGAGTGAGTGAGTGTGTAAGTTGTGACCTGCAGTGTGGTGTTTGAGTGGGTGAGTGGGGGTGTAAGTTGTGACCTGCAGTGTGGTGGTTGACCACAGCATGTGATCGCGATGGCACAGTTCGTTTGTTAGACCCGAGTCCTCAACATGGGAGGACTGTTTTGAGGTTTTATCACTTTGCAAAGTATTTTTAGGGTCTCACTCAAGATGAAAACTGACAGTTGCATATAAGCATAAAATATAAAAAAAACGCACAATTGTCTTCACCACTGTTTTGTAACAGAGAAGTAGACAACATTCCGCTAACATTACAGTTGATTTTCTGATTGAGGAATTGATCAAACATCTCAAGGCAAGAGCACCTTTTAACAGGCACTTGATGCTCAGTAATGCCGTTGTGGATAAGCAGACTTTGTATATATATTGTCTCTCATTGCTCCCTTTTAACTGACACGTGTCGTGAGCGTTCGCCGACGATATTCACGCTGCGCGTTCGTCTCGCTGCGTTCTGGTGGCTTCAATTGAACGGCCTTCGTTGATCAGTTAATTAACAATGTCACTAAGCACACTTACTTTTACACGCATTAATTTTTACTCATGATACCGCGAGCTAACATATTATCTCAGAAGATAAGCAGGCTTGAACCTGAGGATTACAACAGGTGCTATAAACTGCTACAGGACTCGCGTTATTGAGGGCTGCAGAGGAGCGCCGTGCTGCAAGATCAATCGTTGTGCTGTGCTTCTACACTGCCACGTCTATGTTCCCCACTGACTCCGAAGCCCAACCACCCTGACGGGCGCGGGTCGAAGAATCGTTAAGGAAACCCCGTGACCCACACGACGCGAATACGCGCTCGTCCAACACCGGACCGACGGAGGAGCACACGTGGCCATGGGTGTCTGCACGGCCCGTTGGCTACGATCGCGCCGGGGGTTACGCATCGACCGTCCGACTCCTCGCCCGCCAACCCGCCGAACCCATGCGACCCACGCGAGGCTCTTCCCCCGACGGCTCAGAAACAGAGCAAGCCCCGTTGCTCCTCGCCATGCGCAGGGGTCGTGGTTCCGACCCCCACTTCCGCGACAGGGTAGCCGCTACTCCCGTTTAACGGGCACCCAGGCGATGGGGCGTTCTCCGTGTGCCTCCGATCGTGCCGGGTTTCGTCAAATCTCCATTTAAAACTCGCTTCTTTAGAACCGCTTTTTTTGTGCTGAGTTTGTTGTCCTTCCCCCGAACCTCCAATGAGCACGGTTGGCTACGTACGGTGCAAAAGAAGTTCAACAAACATACAGTTGTCATCGTAAATACGATCCGTGCGTCACCTCGGGACAATGGCAACGTGGAGGACAATTGTGACCGATAGCTGCACCGGCCCGCGTGACTCTAAAGCGGCGCTTGGATCACCACGGTGTGCGAGCGACGGTCGTGGCAATCGAACGTCTCACGAAAAGCGTCAATAACGAAGTTGCAACAAACGTACTTTCTGCCTTGCGTCCGAACATTGAGCTGGTGACGCAAACACATATATACTGTGTGTATTTAATCCCATAAAACGGCTGACTAGTGCACACAGAGTGCGTGCGACCGCAAGTGCGTCTGGGTGCTTCAGAAGCAAACAAATCACGCCGGCGTCTGCAGCCTTCGCTTCTCCCGACTCGTTCAGCCTGACGGATTCGAACACCGCGCTCCCTTCCTCACATGCGTCTCTGTTGATACCATAGGTTCATCGTCTATTTAGAACGTCTATCTACGCAAAGCTATGGTGGATGCAGATGGTCTGTATGGATCTGCGGAAAGGACGACGAGGAACCTTCTTCCTTACTGGGGGGCTGAATGATACGACGCTGCATATCCATCTGACGGGCCACACATTAACACAACGCTCGGTCACTTTAGACGCGGCAAGGGTCCCTTGCAGCTACAGATAGGACTGCGCGAGATACTTTTAGAAGCTCGTTGTAGCCGGGTCAAAAGTTTGTCCTCTCTAGCGCCCGATCAGTGTGGCTAAGATGCTCGCCAAGTGCTCGGCTACATATGGCTGCAGGCCACAAGAAACTAAGTCAAGGGTCAATACGACAGCTAAAGTTAGTCGAGTACAGAGGTACAAGTCTACATAGGCAGTGGTGCACAAACGTTGCGAGCCGAGGGCATCACACATTCAACACAGCGTCCACATTTTACGCTTTAACTCTGTGTACGCATCACAAGGTTCGTCCGTTCAGGCGCTCATCAGCTCCGTGCATGGCCACGCAGTTAGGAGGTGGAAACGTCGACGTCTCAACTCCCCACTCCGTGACTCTGTCGCTGTTGATGGTGCGAGAAACGAGCCTAGATCCTCACCGCTCAACCAAATGGGGGGGAATCGCTTTGGAGTTTCAACAGCCACGTGTGCTCACGTTTCACCCTCGTTGGGCATCATCGGCAAAGCCATGTCCATCCGCAGACGGCTATGGACCACACACAAGTGCTGCAGACTCTAGCTTGGGGCAGCGGTCTGAAACGTGGAGGGTGGGAGGGTGTCTTGTTCCATGTGCAAGTTACAGGATGCCGGTGAACGCTGATGGTTGTTTCGGGTGTTAGAAGCGAGAATTGTAATTTCTGTTAGGATTTAGAGCCAGATTCGCATGTTGGCAAAGGATGGTCACTGGCGATGCGTGAAAAGAAGTTTCCGCCAAAAATTGAATGAGACCCTTAACCTCGAACCGGAGTGAGGAAGTGCTCACCCCCTGCGCCGATAAACACGTGAATCAGAGCTCCCCATTGCGTATTCGGGTCTTGCCGTGAGCTGTCCGGCATCACGTCGAACGCTTCACTCGACGAGCAAGGAGCTACTTCTGCAGCGCCCAGCAAAATGAAGCGAAACGTCGGACGCGGTGCCGGACAAAATGCGAAAGCACCCAAAAAACCTGATTGAAAGGTCACGCGGCACGGCCCCGGAAAATCGACACGGCAGAGGAAGTGAGTTGAAGAGCCCACATATGCACGAGCGACGCCTATGCACGTGTGCGTGCATAGGCGTGCGCACTTAAAAGTCCCAGCAGCCATTTCTCACACTCGGTTTTTGCTGTCAAATGGGGCCTTGAGGACCATTTAGCCTGAACACGCAGGGCATGTGCTCAATGTTTCATCATGGAATGCCGTGTTTTAAGGTGCAATGTAATTATGGGCTTTGTCTCTCACTTTCCTTTACACATACCAGCAAGCCACCTGAGATCCATCGTGTGACAAAAAAAGAGACACGTGAAATGTGCACAGGGCAAATAAAACGCTCTTGTAAATGGAAAATGGCTCGATGATAAATTAGCGTACAGGCGCAGGGTGTGGGCTATGCATTAAAGTAGGGCGAGAGACAAAGCAGACAAAACCACACGCGCACGCACACACCCACACACGGGAAAATACTCATTAAATTAAACAAACGAAAGTATAAGCAATCCGGACATTTAAAAAAAGATGAATGTCGATTAACATCGGTGATTTTAACTGGCTGGCGTATACTGGCCAATCTTTCAGCTGATAGCCCTTCCAACAAGGCAGCCTACGGCAGAGGAAACATAAACTTGTTTTGCCCTCATTAGGGCTCATCAGTGAACCAATCCCTGACACAAAGACAGAGATGCCCCACATAGCCTTAACATATCGATAGGGCAAGTGCTATTAACGAGCACTTGTTAAGGCCGGCACAGCTTACTAAGAGGTGGGTGCCCAGCACCACGCCCGGTCAGCTTCATCTCCACAGTGGCGATGTTTAAACATCCCACCAGATACTCATTTGAGGCTGAGTCGATCCAGGATCGGTTTAAATAATCGCCATTGGTGTTGGCAGTCGTGAGCGGGAATTGAACTTGGTTAACCAGGTTCGTAGTGCAGTGCGCGAACTGCTGCAATACCGCTCGATGGCACAGCCACAGAATGACAGGCTGGAAGTCCACGGCTACATGTCGAGGCCCCCGATCATAGAAAGAGAATGTCAGTGCAGTTGTATGCTGATTCAGTGAAGTTTTTAAACAATATAAAAGTGGGGTTGTTCTTGCTGACAAACGCTACCCAAGCTTTCAGTCGAATGACCTTCAATAAAAGCACGAGGTTGAGGTGGCCGGATGGCTCATGGGTCAGAGCACTAAGCTGGCACTGCTGAGATCTTGGATTTGAATGGAGGTTTCAGCCGCCCGTGATTAAACCGGATTCTCAGTCACAGTGAGGTGATAGCCTCAGCCCGGCCATCAAGGACTGCATGAAAAAATCATTATGTAGTGGATATTTCACATATTTAGCTTTTTAAAAAATCCGTCCATAAAGATCAAATTATTGATTCGACCACCAAACGTAAGAGGTCACACGAAGGAATCTCAGGAGTATTTTTTTTTTAATATCTACTTCCACTGGCCTTTCTCCAACATCAAGCGATGTATTGATCTGCGAGAGCTCTCTGTAGACACTTCGTATAAGCACGTGACACCAAGAACATGATCGGATAGCATGATTACAAAAGACAAATAGGAAACAAAAAGTAAGGCATCAAGTCGAGCCAGGTGTGGGAGTACACCATCCACCCTGTGGCACCAACTCCTCAGGGGGCACTCCTGGCGAAGACTCCAAGCCGGCGCCCTTCCTACCCCCACATCGCAACGGTCGACCTGACACCGCCATGAGACCTGTGGTTGACCTCGTGGCCTGCTCCTCCACCCACGACGCTCTAGATCAGAGAACAAGGTGGGCAGGGTCAACCAAGGGGGAAGCGAGGAGCCCAAAGCGCGTAGTGGGCGTTCCCGTATCGTGCAGGAAGCAAACCGAAGCTTAGTTTGCTGCAGTGGCCTGCGGTTTCACGCGGCGTTATATCATCGGTACCCCAAATATTCTGCAAAAGAGACCCAGTTTCAAAGGCGTTCAGTCATGCCCTCAATGATCCCCTAAGGGGTCACATCTCAGCTCCATAGAGCAAGACAGGAAACGCAAGAACCTTGAAAACATGGCGCGTCATTATTACGCAAAGATAGTTGCAATGCCATTCACTGTGGTTGAGCAAAGCCCAGACTCGGTTGTCTCAAGACTTCTGATCAGAACCTCCGTTGCTCTGGATAACGCTGCCAAGTGAAGTGAACTTATCCAGGACTTCGACATTCTGACCACTCACAGTGCAAAACGGTGTCATGAACCATCCCGGATTGTGGTTTTAGCCAGATACCTGCAATCTAAACTGCTTCGTCTCCACACCCACAACCTCAACAATCAACACGAGGATGTCCAGCGACTCTACGTAAACCACCACGTGAGGAGAGTCGAGGTCAGTGACCTTCACGTCGCCGATGCCGACCAGAATCTGTTACCCGACCAAGCGGCCAGTCCCAAACCATCATCGCAGAGCATAGGGGCAATCACACACCCCTGCCGCCTCACACTTCACAGCAATCTCAGTTCCTAAATGCAGGCAGCCAAGAGAGCAATCGTCTTTGCTGAAATTCAATAAAGTCGCATGATCTCCAAGGGTGTCTCCGAATGCACTGCAGAGTTGAGATCACCGCGGGTAGCCGCAAGCAGCTTTTGCCAAATCCCCCAACAGCGCTCGGCAAAGTACAACACGATGTGTTCGCACTTGGGCAACCGTTAAAGCCAGATAGCATATGGTCACGAAGGAACCAAGTTGAAGATGGAAAGAAAGTGAGAGCATGAGAGAGAGAGTGAGAGAGCAACAAGCAGAGCAAACGTGAGGACGAGTGAGCGAGCAAGAGAGACAGAGACAGCGAGAGGGAGACATAGGTGTGCTGCAGTGCTGGATTATCCTCGTAGCAAAAGTAGCTACATATGCTACGGGCCCAGCAATTTCAAGGGCCCCGCGATGAATGCTTTCAAGATATCAATTCCTGTTCAGTGATTCTGCACTTGGTCTATTACTATAATACTATAACGCCTTCAACTTTTATGAACGACTGGGTGTTTAAGGTTAGCGATTTTGTCGTATTATCTGGCTTTATAGCAACATGAGAAAATACAATTAATTCACTAAACATGTAAACAATTTGTGTTTTAATATTTACGTGTTTTTTCTTTAAATTAAGGCCCCTTTATAACATATGCTACAGGCCCCGCACTAGCTTAAATCCAGACACTGGTGTGCTGGACAGACGAAAGAGACGAAAGAGCAACGCACCCCTCTCCAGCACGGGTCCGAAGATCGCCGGGCCCTCGGTCATGGTGGTGCAGTTCCACCGCCGCCCGCGGAACTGGTGCTGGCACTCCTGGATGCCGAGACGGACGCCCTCGGCCACGCTCGGCATCAGCTCCTGGTAGTTCCTGCAGAAGCGCAGCTGCTTGGGCACGAGGCCCGGGATGGAGGCGCAGAGCACGGGCTGAGAGCCCAGCGATGCCCACTGAGGCCCGACCCCCAACGACCTGCAGGGAGTGGTGGGGGGGGAGACGGGGATGTGGGTTTTAAACACGGAGGGGGAGAGACGGGATTCGGGGACACCGGGGAGATAGGGACACGTGGGGTAAGGCCCAGCCGGGGACTTCATTTTACTTCAGCCCGCGCCCACATTGACGGCTTCCACTTTGAAATGGCCCGCAAACCTCTCTCAGGCGATTGTTTAAGGCAGGCAACGTGGGACGCCACGGTGGCGAGATGTTAACTACTTCGGCTGGTATACAGGAGGTCGTGGGTTCAACCCTGACGCCTGCTGCTGTATATTTGGGGTTTGTATCTTTTAGGATTTTTCTCTGGGTTCTCCGGTTTTTTTCCCCCTACACATTTATAAACATGCGTTTAGAGTATTTGACCGCTATACATTTCCACGTGATAAGCCACTTCGTTGAGCTAGCATTTGTGGTCAGGAGGCTTCTGAATAACAGCTATACGGCTTAGTGGGCATTACCTGGTAAAATAAAAAATAGTAAATAGTAACTGCAAGGTATCCTAGCAGCACTAATCGGGTACTAGAGTGGAATCATTTTGCCCTGGCAACAGTAATCCTGTGTGTTATGGTTTAGCGTGTTCTGTCACTTGTGTCGCTGCAGTCGTCGAGCTTTGTACCTGGTCGACACGCGCGCTCAGTTCGCTCTGCTGTGATCGCTTTGCCTTGCTGTGCCTGTGCTATGCATCGCCCTCAGCGTGTTTTGTGAGAGTGGGTGGGGGGGGGAGCAGTCACAGGCATCGTATCAGTGCGGTAAAGGTAAACCCTAAATCGTTTTTGCGTTGGCGGATAACGCTAAGAATGTGCGCGCTAATGTGTGGCCTGCCGAACATGTATTTGAAAGTCCTATTCAGCCCTCGGTACGTTAAAGGTCCCCCCCCCCCCGGGGTAATGAGACACGTGGGAAATGGGGACATCTGGAGAATATGGAGGACACCTTTGAGATGGAAAATTAATCTCACTCCCATCAATCAGTGACTTAATCTAGAAGCAGGTGACAGGCCACTCGGCAAGAGGCTCTCTTTACAGGTGAGTCCTGAGATCAGGGTCACACGTTCTGTTTCAAAAATGAACACCAAAAGTGAACCAATAAGAGATTGAATTAGCACGCATACACACTTTAGTTTTTAATACAGCGCCAAGTAACAACATTTTTTTATTATTTTACAGTTATGTAATATAATATGCCAGACAGAAATCCCCGTAACGTGCAGATGGAATGGAAGTACACACACGAAACACGTGTGTGTGTAACAAGAGGGCGTCGCATATGAGTACAGATAACTACATGAAAAGGTGAGATGAGTTAACATGTGGTAGCTAAACAATTGACAGTTTAACAGGTGAGATAAGTGAACATGTGATAGGTACACAAGTGACAGTTGAACAGGTGAGATGAATGAACAGGTGAGAAATGGATCGGCGAACAGACGACAAAGAATAGGTAGTCAGGTGAAGAGGTTATGGTGGGGAGTTGATCGCCATTGTTCACACGTTCACATGGAGGGAGGTTGGGGAGTAGCCTCACGAGAATGCGTAAACAGTGCCAGCCAACGATCAAAGCAGGTAGTGTTGTACGATGTCCATAGACCGTGAAGACCGATGGCTCTTCCTAATCGCCCATTGGTGTAAAGAGATAGCCGCGTCTGCCGTGATAGCCGAATAGGTGAATAGGTGACTAGTGAACAAATAACGAGTCACAGATGAACAAACGCACAGGTGACAGGTGAACGGCAGGACAAGTTGCGATCTCTCGCACTCCCACTGTCAATGTTAATCAAATGCATCGATTAGCTACTTCGGACTATCGTGGCCCGAAGTGGACATTGATCTACACAGAAGCGCAGCGGAAGTTATCAGGACGCAAGCTCTTGGGCCCTCTAACGTGCTACCAAAATGTCGCAGGTCGGCCGGAACGGTCCCGCCGGTTCCAGAAACGTCATGATATCCCAGAGCATTTGCGACGATGGAGATGTTTGCCCACCCCCCCCCCCTCCCCGGTTTAAGACGTTTTGACCTCGATGATCGGACTCGTGACACGGGCTAAGGGTGCGGCTACCTGAGCAGTGGGTGCGGGATAGCAGAGTTGGTGGGGACAACCCTCAAAAAAGATCTCGGAGAATGGCGACGGGAGTAGCTGCCAGCACGCGATGTGAAGTGGGCCGGTGGGAGCCTCCCAGAAATGTGGCAGGTGTATCTCTCTACTCGGTCGCCTGGCGTTTCAGGTTTTTCTTCTCGACGTGGACACTCACTGCACAAGACCTAAACACCTTTGAAATGTCAGGGCTCATACGCGAGGGATGCCTTCCATAGCCTCAAGCGCCGGGAGCAGCCTAAGAATAACACGCCATTTAGTCTAGACCAGCGTGGAATGTTCAAACTGATGCTACTGATTGTGATGTTCCCCGCCATAGGAATGTCGAATTTCCACCCCTGACTCAGGGCCGCCAATGGAGATGAGCGTCGCCCAATATCTCCGTTGAGCAGGAAAACGACTTGACTTTGACTCTGGTTGATATTTCGTTTCATAATTTGCTTACTTCCTGTAAACATGTGACCAAATCACCCTGAATGCGCCCGATATCGAATGTTGGTAGCTGAGCAGGTATGGACCTGGTCAGTACTCAGGCTGGGAGACTTCCTGAGAATTCCAGGTGTTGTTGGATTGGGCTGTGAAGTTGGTCAAGAGATAGCGGTAGAGCGATGGATTCTTGAATCGGTATGTACGGAGCGGTACGTGTTTTAATCTCAACACCTCAACACAGTGCTCACTAACACTGTGACATTGTTAGGAAAAGTATACCATAAGTGACGTTTCGGGCAATGGCCCTTCTTCGTAGCATATATGCGTGGTGAATTTTCTCCGGGTACTCCAAGTAACCTCCCACATGCACGCTATCTCATTCACAGGATTGACCAAACATCCCAACACATCATCTTCTTTGGTTCTTTCGGTAAAGTCACTTTACCGAAAGAACCAAAGAAGATGAATCATTGCAGTCACGAAAGCTTTAAATCGAAATCCCAACACATCACTGAAAAGATCGTTAAGACTCGGCGAGACTTTCTCACACAAAGGCCATTATTAATATTACTAGCTTGTTAACTTAAAAACATCACGATCAACTAGATCTAAAGAGACAGAGAGAAAAAAAACCCAGCGAGACAATGCCTTGAAGTCTTTGTAGTCGTCGTAGTATTATTATTAGCGTTGCTGTTGTTGCACACTTGGAGGTGCGGTTCTCCTGCATTCGCCGTCCAACACGTTGCCCGGGACGTGAGCGCATGCCACGCACGTGGTCTCTGCCTACGAGCAATCGTCTTGCGGAGAGAGCGAGCAAACATCATCGCCGCTGGCAGCCCTGAGTCACTGGTGGAAAATGTCCACGTTTCCATGGCGGATGTCATGTCAAGTCACGAGAACGTACAGCCGATCACATTGTAACAACACGATATCCTTACATTGACGAGACAGTACTGTATCTGAACTGCGGCCACGCGTACACGATAGCGACATTGTGTATATATTTAAAGAGGCAGGTTCGCTGGTCGTTTGCGAATGCTCATTTTCGTACGTCGAGCGGGATGTGAACATTGCTCGCAGAGTTTAGTGCAGCCGCGCATGCGAAGTCAGCGGACGCACGCACGCACGTGGGTCAGATATCGCCAAAACAAACAAAAAAACCCCACCGATGATAATGAAATATTCGCCAATGTGTACAATAGCCCCGCCACGCAGCAGTGCTGGTACACCTTTCGTGTGCAAGTAAATTTTTCTCCAAACAAATAGAACAGCGCAGGCCCGCGTCTGAGCCCCGTGGACACTGACGCACATCGAGTTGCCACGAGGCACGGGCACCCCGAGCTTGGACTCGGGATGCCCGTCCAGGCAGCGCGTTTACCATAACGCCTGTTGAGTATTAACACTTCGGCTTTCGCGACCAATAATTTACGACGTTAATCCCTCTCTGGTCTTGGCACTCGGTAGCCTCGCAGTTATTGCATCACATTTACTCTATTCGAGAGCCTAACAGAAAGACTTCTTCTCAAATCCGGCTATTCGCCTGATGAAGCTGGTTGTAATCACCGGCGAAACGTCGTACTCGAATTGTAAACGCTGTGGGTTTACTCTCAAACACACCGGTGTGCTGAAGTAGCAACTAATTGGCACGTTCTGTTTACGTGATAAACCTTACTAATCGGCTGTGCCGGGTGGTTGCGGGTTTAACGACACGTTTATATTTACGTGATTTAACCCAAAAAAACCCTTTATTATGGATACAATCTATTACCACGAGTTGGCTGAGAAATTCAGGCTGGAGAAATTTCGGAGCTCGAATTCTCTAGGGAAATTTCGCTCAACGGCCCGGCCTAAATTCCTTCCCTAGCTCAGCATTCTGGACGCGAAAATAAATCATTAATAAAAAACGGGTCACAATCAAGACACGTTGCAGGCAGCGGAAAGATATAAATGTAACATTTAATTTTACATTAACACGGGTAATATTTAAATCTGTCAGCGACGCGGACTTGAGCTTTGCCTGGCGAAGTGTTTCACGGAGAGAGCTGCAGATCTCACCCGACGCATGTACGATGTTGAACTTCTTTCGCACCGTACGTTGCCAACCGTGCTATTCAGGCGTGCGATAACTGGATATCTCGAGCGAGCCGTGGAAACGTCACTCTGCTCTATTTTGAGAGACACCAATTGGACTCGAATCGACCGTAACTCGCTGTCCCATGGTTTCGTGGGTGCTATCGTGGGATGCTGTCATTCATAACCCGGTGTGAATACAGTCTGTGTTCACTGCCACACAAGCGCAGTGATGAGAATTATGTGGAGAAAAATAACTCAACGCATCCGTCCGTCAATAACCGTTGCCTTAAAAGAACAAAAAGAGATCAAATAGGCGACGTGACGTTTCGGTCAATTACCCTTCTTCATAGCACGATTATATATATTTTGTTACTTTAAGGCCACAA